GAGAACCAGGGCATTTGTTCTGTGAACACTCCTCACTATCTATTTCCCCAAAATACCCCACCACCACCACCACCGAAATGATCTACTCCTACTACCCTGAAAACTTTTTTTCACTCTGAACAATTCTTTCCTGTTACCGCTGTTCTGTTGTGTTCTGTGGACTGATTGTTCGATTATGTGGACTGTGGCTTGAATTACGTCAGACAGATCTCGCAATAACCACACTTACTTACTTTTACATGTGAACAACACTTTCTCTTCCGAGACCAGAGGTTGATTTATTTGCCGTGAATCCATCCGTCGGTTTGACGTATATGTACTTTGTCCGAGGACGACCTCCTCTAAGAGATAGATGCTGTGTGTGTATTCTCTTTCTCTGACCTCATGCCAGAGTTTTATAGACTGATGGACCTTTTCATCGATCGCACGCACGCACGCACGCACATACAAGCACATTCACTCATGATTATACATACTTACGAACAAACTGCTAGACATATTATGCTGTTTCTACCGAAAAAGAGAGAAACTACGAGAAGATCAGTCCCATAAATTCATCTTTTTCGTTCGCTATCGTTCAGCCTATTCTGCTGCCCCACTGTCCCAGTTGGTCTTCCGTTCTGAAATTATTTTTTTTTTTCTCTGTTTAACTCATCCCCCAAGCCTGCCCGAATACACGAATTCTGAACAATTGTAGCCTAAGCGTATTTGATATGCATTAGGATGCGGCAGACAACAAACATTTCGACACAGTCTTGTCTTGCTTTTCTGGTCTTTTGTTTGTTTTTGTTTTTTTCTGTTTTTGTCTTCCGTTTCTCACAGGTCCTCCTCCTCCTCCTCTTTCATGACCGCAAAATCACTATCTATTTTCTCCTTGGTTAATCCAGTATTGCTAACATTACAGCTATGAATATTACTATCAATACTATTATTACAATCACTAATACTACTCCGATCAATATTCATCGCAATGCTGTTTACGTTCACTCCAACTACGGTCACTGTTCCGATTAATTGCCTGTTCTCTGTGCTTGCTTTTGTCTGTCTGTGTGTGTGTGTGTGTGCATATGCGCGTCTATGAATACAGTGCAAACAACTCTAAGCCAGCAATTCGTCACAGTGGTGTCCATTGGTCGAACACGTACCTCTCCTCCATTGGGTTAGTTTGAGCACACTATTATTATCACTATTATGATTATTCGCAGATTATTTCCTTTAATCAGACAACAACAATAACAACAACACAAACACGAGAAATGTGCACACTAAAGCATTAAATATAACTAAAATGCATAAACTCAAACTCAACAGACTGCAACTGAGCACGCTTACGTTAGTCCTATAACAGATTTTGCAATCAATTCTCTCTACCTCTCTCTCTCTCTGTCCCTCTCGCGCACACCCACACTTTCTGTCACTTGCTTTATCGACATTTTCCCGTCTGCTAACACCTTCGTCTTTATTTTATTGTTTCCGTTGGAATGAACCGCACGCGGAGCCTCTGCCTATGTGTGGATAAGCGAGACGAATGCACACACTCTCACTCACAAAAACGGGGTTCCAAGGAGAACGAATCCGTGAGGAACACGTCATTCACTCCCTCCTCGTTCGCTTTTTATGACGATCGTGTACTATCCTTGTTTCGTGGTCTTTGTTCCAGCCCCGAAAATTCGATTTTGTTTCAAACAGAACAGAACCCGATCCGATGAGAACGGTCTTGCTGAAAACATAAATCGAATGTGGTACATCATCGACCTGAGACATCAGTGACCTCTTTCTTTACCTCCCTATCTATCTAACTTTTATCCAGCATGTTACTGTCGCGCAATGTGTTAGCCCAAACTCCCTCTGCCCCCCCCCTCTCTCTTCAACTCTCTCTCTCTCTGATTCCCTCTGTCCACCGTTTTGTGACTAATCTGCTCCCTGCGCTGTCACACGTTAACCGGTCAAGCTAGAAAGAAACAACTATTCGGTACGTCTCAACACCTATCTTTCTCCCAATCGTAGATTGAAAATTTTCACAGGTCATCGCTGTTTCATTCAGAAGAGGCTTTGAACCACACGAAAGTCGTGGACAGATTACTTCATTACCGTTGGTGATCTATTTCACATCTCCTTTTACCATCCACTTCCTTCCTCGTTTGTAAGCGCGATGCGATTCCCGCAGTCGATATTTTCACAATCGGCATTCGATTTTTCATTTGAGTTTCATTCTATTTAGTGTACTGCCGTCGAATTTGCAAACTCAACCACCCCCACCCACCCTCGCTCCCACCTTCAACCCCTGAAAAAAGAACTGCCAATATTTCTTTTTCTCTCGGTTCTATTCTACTCTGTTCGCACTTCTCTCTCTCTGTCTGTGTCTCTCCACCCTCTGCACCCACCTCTATCTTACCCCGCCCCGCCTGGCCCCTCCCCGTCGCGACCTTTGTCTGCTATGCTTGCACTGAACAATGCCTTACTTGTACAAATGCAACCAGTAACGAGCATGCATACAAATACACGCACATACAAACAGACGCGCGCGCGCGCTCTCACATACATACATTTATATACTTCATATACATACATGCATATATATATATATAAATATTATCAAAGTGCGACACCACGTCTATGCTGGAACTCCCCGTTCTTATCCTAATTTAATGGGACTGTGTGTCCCTCGTAAAAGCAATTCATCAAGGTTTGATCAGGATACCTGGAGTATGGTTAAAAGTGAAACACGGTTACAAAATTAAATCTGATCCCGTGATGAGGATGGCTTGGTAGTAAAATCGTACTTTACGTTCTTTCCGATAACGATGCATACGAGTAGATGTGCGCCTGGTTCCAGATTTAAATCGGTTCCATCATATTTGATTTGCAGGTGAAGTATAATGGTTACGTATTAAGTTTAATGACCTTTGCAGTTGTACCAAATAATAAAACCCAAGGCCCCTTGATGACTGATGTAACGAGAACTCTAATGTGAACATCAACAACGAGGTGTAGTGCAGCGGTGGAGTAGGCGTGCATCCCCTTTTTTCACAAAACATACTTATATATAGCATACATATATACATATATATATATATATACGTATGGTCACATTTTACATAGCGATGGAAGATTGAAAATGAATTGGCTTCCTCCGCTCTGTTCTGATTGAGGTAGTAAAGGGGATCCAGCGGTTCAACTTCCTCAAACCGATTGCCTCCTTTATGTAACCTGCCGCTCAAGAACAGGCAGTCGATTTCCCAGTTGTACTGATCCAACTTTCACCCACTAGTGACCTCACTCACAGGATCACGTCACCCAAATCACGAAACGGCTTTCCAACACTGTTTGGTTAGGCTCATCTATTGAGCCTGCGTCCCAACTGTGAATCTGCGGAGGTTATTGAACTCACACCACAATGATCGATTACCGGTCCAGAAGAAACTGACACGTTTGTACTAAACAAGAGGAGATATTCGAAGCATTGATGACGGGTAACCGGAGTAACTGCAGAGATTCTGTTCCCTTCACCTACCTGTCGGTCTTCAGTGTTGTATGGACTGTTTGTCAAGTGTTTGACATGAAACATTTGTTTCATTCAGCAGCCTTTTCAGTTCTGAAATAGCAAACTACCGCCGAGAGGCTGGATATTAACCGCGCCTGTTCTAGGCAACGGTGACATTCAAGGGTAAGGCTTGCGCAAAGTATACCCTATTGAAGAGAAAATTTGCATTTGTGAAGCTCAGTTTACGTAGCCCTGGCCGTGTAATATTCATTTGTTTTTTTGNCTCTATCCGAATGAATAGAATCGTATAATGGTCAGCAAAACAAGTTGGAAAGGGACAGCCAGTGTGTGAAAAAACGTGTCAAGTAATCTAGATATCCCTCATCTTTGCGGTCGGGATCCAACGGATCAATTCGGTTTGATTTTCTCAAAAAATAAATCACTAGGTAAACTACGGTGTTTTGTAATCGCTTCGATGCAGATTTGATCACTCACATTCAAATTCGTGCTTTGACAGTGCACTCTGTGTCCGCCTCACTTTGAACTAAAGCTCCGACCAGTTTC